CCGCTGTTGAAACTGATCAGTTTCAGCAGCGGCTGAATCTGGACGCCAGTTCCGACTTACGTACAGATTCAACTTAAGAACAAACCTACAGTCCCTATCTTGTACGTAACCCGGGGACTGCCTGTATTAAAAATATCTCTCCAATTTCTCTTCCTTTGGAAACTAAAAAAAAAAAAAATCAGTGAAATTGAAACATTCTCATAGAAAATGTTGATTGTGCAGAAACTGCATTTTTTATTTAAACTCACAGAAAAACTTCCCACCGGTTCTAATACCAACCAAAGCAACTTTATATAGGCTTGTTAATAACCCGGGGACTGCCTGTATTAAAAATATCTCTCCAATTTCTCTTCCTTTGGAAACTAAAAAAAAAAAAAATCAGTGAAATTGAAACATTCTCATAGAAAATGTTGATTGTGCAGAAACTGCATTTTTTATTTAAACTCACAGAAAAACTTCCCACCGGTTCTAATACCAACCAAAGCAACTTTATATAGGCTTGTTAATGGCTGGATTGAGTTTGGCTCTGCAGCGCTGTTCTCACAGAATCCTAGAGTTTAGTGACCAATACCTTATCCAATCTGATTGCCTGTATATCAGAAGCCATCAATTGCAACCTGCAACAACCAAAATTAAACTATTTCTCCTATGGCTTCATCATTTTCTATAGAATTTATGCACTCATTTGAAACAAATGAAGTTTATTACCCATAGCCTTGTGGACACAGGATTATGAATCTGCAGATAGAAAGGTACAGGCTGCTCCCATTAAGCACAATGGCATGTTAACCATGAGGCCTAATGAAAACAATGGAAAATGTCAACATTTTGCATAATTTTCATGGAAAACATTTTCCTCATCAATAATTTGACCCCTAGATACACAAACACACAATAGGTTGCACAATAGGTTAGTTGAATAGAGCACCAAATTGGGACTCAGGAGAGATGGGGCACTCACTACCTTGAGAAAATCATTTCTCATCCCCATGCCTCAGTTTCTTCACCTGCAAAATGGAGAGAATGATACTGACCTCCTTTGTAAGGTGCATTGAGACCTATTGATGAAAAAGAGCAAGGGATTTTTTATGACTATTATCTGGTACATGAACTTCTGTATAGTTCTTATCCACTACTGAAATTACTAGCACTATATAAGCCAAGAAAGCCTTTAATGCCACTGAGTAGTGTCCCATTGTTGTCACTGTTTAGTGTCCCATAATAGCACAGAACTACGTTGCATTGTTGTGCTCACGTCCCGTGAAACAACAGGATGTCATAACGTAAGATGCTATTTGAATGGTGAAAGCTTTGCACACTTGCTTTCAAAGCCAGTATTCTGTATTCTAACAAACAACAACTTCATGAGAAAACCATGAAAGGCTCCTTATGGGCAAACCCCACTCACAGAAACCCACCAGAGTGAGGAAATCCAAAGCCGAGCTACCCTTCTTAACAGACACGCTTTACACTTTCCATTGTCATTGACAGGCTCTGAACCTCCGCCTTCTGGCTAAAAGAAACACGCTGCATATAACACATTGACCTAGCCCAGGCTCTATTGCAAAACCTCATATTTCTGTACACATACCAGATATGACATAAACGTTTTTATTTCTGTGGCGTTCTACAGTATGTTGTTTCTTCTGCCCATGCTAAGGAACTCCAGGACTGGGCAGTAGCAAAGGCTTAATTGCATCCTTACAGAATGCCATACCTGTGTGCATAACAACATAAAGGTTTGCTTTTGCACTCATGTAATCTGCATTAAAACATTTTGGTTTGTTGAGCTGAAATGTTTCATTTCAAACCAGTTAGACACTGAAGAGCATCTGCTTAAGGTGCATCATGGGAACTGTACTTTGGTTGCCACATGCCCCTATTTTCCGTATGGGCTGTGCACCTTGGTTGGATTACACGGCCCCGTGTTTCAACATTTCTGTACTGAAATGCTTGAAAAAATTCCATTGTTCTAAAAATTTTGACACTGTCGCTTTTCATACAGATTTGGGAGGAAAACAAGTGTTGCTACACTGGAATCTACTTTGGGACAGAAAAGTCAATATTTACTTAGCCTTAATAGGTGTCTACTTTCAAACCCTACCTAAGTATGGAAAATTTGGGTACACTTAGCTGAAATTCAGTAATCCTCACAAAGCTAATGGCTAAGATTTCACTACAGTATATATCTATAGTTTTCTTTGGAGACTAAACAACTCTTAAGTGTTACAGCCTTCCAGAGAATAGTATACAGAAGGTAAAGTTTACATTTCCATCAGCAACATACAGAGCAGCAGACAGAATGTGATTATTTTAGCAAATCTATACTGCACAGCTCCAGCTGTGTTATTATGGAGGTACTAAAAATCTACATTATTTTAAACTTGTGACTAACAGGAGAGTGCCTTAGGAAAATGACAAATAAAACAAATGCAAATAGGTAGTAGCAGAATCACTGTCCTTTGCGCATCTGGGCCAGATATTCCGTTGTTGACTAAGATTTGTTGGGTATGGGAAGGTGGGAAACTGCATCAAATATATAATTTTATTCTCCACAATTTACTGAGGTGATAGAGAAGAGAATGTAATAAGCAAGGATCATCTGAACAACTTAAATTCAC